TTACTCTCACTTTCCTGTACATACTTGAAATGAAAGAATTCTCACATGCTGATTGAGGGATGAATGGCATTGTGTACAGAAAGTTGATAATGTCATTAATTGCTTTTGTGGTGAGGTGTAATTATGTGCTTTCCGGGAGCTATAACATTATCTCCCTTAATCGGAGATACAAGGGTGAACCAAACCGCACCAGAAGTTAGTGTTCACCAGTGGTTTAGAGATGCACTATTGCCCGTAGAATATTATTTTGTTATTGAATACATGGTATGTTGTCCAAGAAAAGTTTTAACTAATATGAAGAACATTTGTTGATGGAGATATGTCAGGTAGGTAATTTTGGAATATTGTCTGAAGCAATTTGGGAAGCCAGACAGCTCAACCTGGGGAGGAAGTCATATCCTGTTTTGCTACCATGAGTAAGCTGTATCCTGTCAAGTGGATAATAAAAAAACAACTGCCTAACACTACAGAACATTCAGTTACCATAGATCCAAGAAGTGGGGCATTCATCAGATTGGGGGATGCTTGATATTGGCACAGTGTGGCAGTGCACATTATCCTGCGTGGAGGAGGTGGAGTTGGGTGAGAGATCTTATTGTCTACATCCTGACCAGTCCCAGGAGGGATGGTGTGTGCTGCTAGGATTACTGAGTCTCTCCCACCACAACAACCTTGTTTCTCTCTCAGCCTCCGTACCTCACACATGCTCATGAACGCCTGTTGCTGTGTCCGCGTTTCAGGCATTTTGCACCCGACGTAGCCGGAGCTCGTTAGGGTAGAGCTGAAAGTGAATCATTGTAGTGTCTGAATTTTCAACAAATTTTTCAATGTGCTGATTTTATTAATCAGTTGTTTGAAAACTTGAGAAAAGAAAAAAAGGAAGAAAAAGAGGGAGAGAGAGAGAACTATTGCATGCTTGAAAGATATATTAATCACAGGTGAATTAAGTTCATTTATATATAAAGATCATGAGTAATGATCATGAAAAAATTACTTTGATGGAACATGTGGTTTTCCAGCCTAAAAGGTTTTCATGGGTGACTGAGGTGGACATACCCAGTCTAGAGGACAAGGAATACATCTGCAAAAGTTACCAGAGCACTATGGACTTGTCGAAGGAACTCCAGTATGAAGTCCAGTCTCCCAGTCCAGTGGAAAGGCAGATCAGTTCATCAGCATTACAGTGTGAGGGAATGGGGGTCCAGGATGCAGAGAAGCCGAATGCAGCAGAAAATGCAAAGGATGCAAATCCAGCTGAACAGAGAAAGTTATCTGAGAGAAGAGACCCACCGCAGAAACCTCCTCGGAAGTCCAAGCTCTCTGTGCAACCGTCACACAAGCTTCCAAGAGACCCAGATGTCATAGCCATATCTTCGCCAACCCTCCCAAACAGTCCAGCTCGTATCATTATGACTCCACCAGACACGCCCTCGGTAACAGAAGCTGGTCTAAGAATGTCGACATTTGGTCACAATTCCAGCTTTTCCAGACCGCGTGGACATACCAGGAGTAAGTCAGAGAGTGTGAAACTGGACCTACCAACTACAAGGGAAACTAGCGATAAAGCATTGAAAGTGGAAAAACTGAATTCAAAGCATGACAGACGATCAAAGTCAATCACCAATCCATTACTGATTCCAAGCTCAATCCGACCAAAAACACCGACCCCGCCCAGATCTCCCGTCGGATACGTAGAAAGGGACCAGCAAGGGCGCGATAAGTCTACCAGTCATCTGAAGCTGGACAACATCAAAGAGGGCATAGGCAGAAGTAAAGAGGAACTGAGGATGGGGCTTGATTCTCCTCAGCCAGACTCCCTCCTCCTGCGTAATGCAAGCGCAGGCAGGGGAAAGAAGTATTTAGAGTTGGACTATAACCAGCCCAAAAGAAAGAGTGAAGGAAATTTGTTAGATGGACACCTTAGTCTAGTTGCGAAAGATCAGTATGACCAGATTGTGAAAGAGCTTACTTCCAGCATGTGTAGAGTGCGATTAAATGACAACAGTTGCAAAAGTAGAGATAATATTTCTCAGAATATAGATGCCAGTAGCAACCAGCTAAGAGAAGATGTGTCTTTAAAAGTTCATGCGGTAGAAGAAGGAGATAACAACAAACCTCATTCATGTTTTTCTGCAAAATCTCAGGTAAGGAAGTCCATGTTCATAAGTCATGATGAAGAGGACTCCATACTAGAGGATAAGCCACTCACCAGTGAGAGTGGTGAGGCCAGTGCCCGTGCATTTGGCACTGATGACGACACCCCTGGGCAGGGTGCCAGGCGATTCTTCCCACCGTCCTCCCGTTGCTTAAGTCCAGATAATGGCTCTGGGACGCACTCAGACAGGGAGGAATCCACATTTAGTGATGATACAGAGGGATCGACGTCTACCCTTCCTTGTCTGGGGATTGGAAGTGATCACTACAAGGAATTGAAGAGATCTCTTGACTCTGAGAAGGTAGTTCAAAGATTTAGCTCTTGTGAATTTAACAATTTTGAACCTACTTTTTCATCTGATTAAATAATATTAAGTTTAAAGAATCAACTAATATAACTTTAATGGTTCAAATTTGGTAGATTCGCCATGAACATGTCTATACAACGCCTGACAAATGCTGCACGCTAGTAATTTCAGAATGGAGGTACAGAATTTGGCATAATGCCTGTATTTTTAAATTTCTGAGGTATCTAAGCCAAGGTAACACTGTAATTTACAATATTGTTTATTGATCTATGAATCTCTTGACTCGAATTCCTAACCTGATTGCACTATTATTTTTTTCTCAGAAGCGCAAAATGGATGGAAAAAGTACCTTTCAAGCATACAATAGCTTATTTCCAGATTTGATCTTCAGCATATTGCTACTAAGGAACTAATAACTTTAATGCTTCAGCTTTTTACCAAACTGTGTAGAATGATTATAATTTAGCTGGTATAAATCACTGCCATCTCTGAAGTATATAATTTGTATTTTAAATAACATTAACAATTTAGATTTTTTGTTGAGAGATTGAATTGATACTTATTATTTTTTCAGAAATTAATGGCTAGTCCAGTTTTCAAAGATTCTATATGAGACATATATAATTTATATCACAAACTGTATTTTGTGCTGATACATATTGAGGTATTTAAGAAGTTTGTGGACAGTTACTTAATTTTTTTTTTTTGGAGTGGAGGGTAAACTGAATGAAATTTGATTAATATTTGTTAGGAAATTTTTAGCGAACTGGTTGCAGCTCTAGATAGGGAATGGATGGTGTGGATGACTCTCCATGCACCAGATAGTATTTTCTGCTAAGAGTGTCACAGATACAAATGATATACCACCTGAAACTTAAAGTGCTTGGTTGAAGTCCAGTGTCTGCTGTCCAGGAATAAGGAATTAAGTAGGTATTCTCTAAATGGATTGGATGGGGAAAAGGGTCCCAGTCGCTGAGAAGAAGACATTCCTTCTTTGAGCGATGTGGTTAAATAGAGCAGAAGTCAGATTGATTTATTTATTCTGCTTTGTTGTTATATGTATGTCTGTCCCTCTTTTGGTAACTATATATATCTTGTCTGTTTTAGGGCTTTCAGTATAGAAAACTGTAGGATTTTAAAATGTGTTCACTGCATATTATTATTATTATTATACATGTGTTTAGTAACCATAGCCTAAACTTAGGTTTGATGTGGTGACTTAGATGTTGATATATCTGAATGCTACACTGAAAAGAAATATAATAAATATATGGATGTGCAATGCTAATAGTATCTCATATTCCTCTTGAAGTGACAGACAGTGTTTTAGGCGACATATTTTCTTTGAGATGTGTTCAAGTTGCAATTTCACTGATCTTCAGCAGCAATTCTGATTGAATGAAAATAGTTCTTGCAAAATTACAATGTATATATTCTTTTATGGTTTGAATGATTATTCCGTAAAAACTAACGATGATGTAGCTGCTTCATGTCTTTAACTTGACTAACTAGGACTATCTTTGCAATGCTTCCACACGTTTCATTAGCACGTGACTTGCAAAACAAATTAATAATTGTCTTTAACTTCTCTGTGATTCTGTAGTTGCCATTTAGAATTAAGACTTTGAAAATTTATAGTGCTCCCTTCTATGAGCATAATTTCTAGGTAGTTTAAGAAATAGTATGACTGAAAGAATTTATAAGACAAAATATTAACTTACTCAGAAAGAAAGATGTTGAGACAGTGAATTTTTGAAAGATGTAAGCGTCCCTTTCTCAAACTAACACCGGTCTTTCTTTACAGTGGCTCGCAACTAACAATGATGATGGGAAGATTTATTACTATGAGGAGAGTGGCAGTAAGAGTCAGTGGAAACTACCTGAGGTATGTCTTGCACTGACAACTTGAGACGTGTGCATTGATCTCAGTCTTTGGTGTGGGAGGGGCATGTACTGAGCAGAAGATACAGGTGGAAGGAAAAGGGATAGCAAGTTAATTCTTATTTGAATGTTGATTGATATACTTCACTAAGGTACTTTTAACTGAAAATCATGCAAGGAGTACCTTTTTGCATGCGTTCAGCACTTACAGAGGTTGGGTTACAGAATTTATATTTGTTCTTGAACTTGAACATCTTTTAGTTGGCTTGCATCTTGTGTTAAATATATTATTGAAGGTGTAGGGTGGAGTAAATCGATAGATTGGCAGGTATATGAATTGTTAAGTAAGTAGGAGTTTTGCTTCTACAGGTATTATGCTTTCTGCATATAATGTAGGGAAACATTATCTTTCTCAGCATAATGTAGAAATGCAGAGGAACAGAAAGGCCTGTGAAGAATAATGTTACTAGGTTTATGGAGCTTCTTGTATTTAGGGTAGCTTGGTATAGAATTTTTGCTGGCTTTCCTTTTTTCTATCTTCATTATAACTTTATATGGTATTTTTTTCTGGAACAAGAATGAAAATTGAAACACTCTCATTGCTAGGTACTGTGGTGTAGAAAAGGATCAGAATCATTATAGGAAATAGAATTGTTTATATTTCTTATTGGAATTTGAAAGTACTTGATTGGGATTTTGCAAAGTTGTAAGACTTTAAAAGAAAGTTTCGATGAAGAACTGGGAGATGGTATGAAATTTAGTTACTATAAATAGACAAGTAGCTCCTCTTGAGTAGCATAGTTGCATGTCAATGACTAGAGGGATGTTAATAAGATACAACTGCCGAGGCATCTTCAGTTAGTAGTTTGTAATTTATGTGGGTATTTAGTACAAAAGTTGGTTTTCGTTTTTGACGTAAGTGAAGAATCTTACAACTTTGTTACATTTGTGTGATGTGGAAGTACTACTTAAGCAAACTACTTACACTGAAATGTTGAAATTGGATATACTCTATTGGGTACCTTAGTTGTGGTATATGGTTTTAGACTAACAGCAGCAGTCTAAACACATAGCAAAAAATTAGAATTCATGTTTGCTTTACTCTTGCTTTCCTTTATGCTTCATGGTGATGGAAACATGGCTGAAGGACATCTTACTGTCTCTACTGTAAGTTTTCTACTTATTGCTGCTTTTATATTTAATACCATCTATGGCTATAAGGACAGCAGGCATTTCTTTGTGCATGCAGTCACTCCTCAACAGATGGATTATGGCTTTTGGCAGTTAATTGTAAAGTGGATATGCTTGTTCTTAGAAGTGTTAGAAAAATCCATTATAACAGATAGCAGGTGAATGAGTTGAAAAACTATTTGTTGGAATTAGATTATTAAAGATATATACATATATACATATATACATATATACTTATATACATATAAAAGCATGTGTGTGTATTTTTTTCTGGTTGATTACAATGTCAACTATTTTTTGAGATTTAGGATGAAGCAGTCATTTTTTTATCTAATTTTCAGCTCGATGCCTTTGACGAGTTTGATATAAGGGATGGCCAACAGACTTCAACTCTGGAGAGCCAAAGGGTGTCCTTAGTTACTGAAAACTTGGTAAGTATTGGAGGTTATAAAGAAATTTACATCTACGTCAACTTCCAAGTGTGGTACTCTATATCTCTTCTCATTTAATTCAACTTGTAGTCACTTCTTTTTTCCTGCTTGCTTTCTTTCTTTATTTTTAAGTTTAATTTAGTTTAGGTTAGTTTGGCATTGGAAGATTCAGCTATGTATGTATTTTTGTGCGGAAAAGGTCCGCAAAAATTACAAAGGTCACTTCCTCCACAGGCGGAGCTAAGCAAGAACATTGTCAAAGAAGGATTCATGCAGAGAACGTTCCTTTTGAAAGAGGGAAAGAAGGTGCGCAAAAATTGGACCTCCTCCTATGCTCGTTACATTGTCAGTTCCTTCAATTCTGGATCACAAGGACTGATTCACTTCTCCAAAACGAAGGATGATGACAAGGTAAGGTTGTCGATTTTACCTTACTGGAAATTGCGATTTAAGGGTTATTGCTTTGGCCATAGATTTAGGTGATTAACTGAAAAAGTGGGATGTTGTTTTTAGGAATACTATTTTATTTGTTGATTTTTTAAATAGTTATATATTTTCTTCTTTTTTTTACAGAAAGCTGAAATATTTGATTTTATTCCACCATGTTCCCTTGACCTTTCCAATGACAAGAAAACAAGTAGGCAGCAAGTCATTGCATTACGCAATGGCCAAGACACAGAAGTACTACTACAGTTTGAAGATCGAGACATTGAGAACGAATGGCTCAAAGTTCTGGTTGATCATGTGAGTAGTTGGTTGCTATTATTTTTGTGACTTATTTTGCTATTTATGTCGCAAGTCACATATTTTGGTATTTGTACATGTGCAGTTGTAGTCACGCATGCATGGTTGTGTGTGTGTGTGTGTGTGTGTGTGTGTGTGTGTGTGTGTGTGTGTGTGTGTGTGTGTGTGTGTGTGTGTGTGTGTGTGTGTGTGTGTGTGTGTGTGTGTGTGTGTGTGTGTGTGTGTGTGTGTGTGTGTGTGTGTGTGTGTGTGTGTGTGTGTGTGTGTGTGTGTGTGTGTGTGTGTGTGTGTGTGTGTGTGTGTGTGTGTGTGTGTGTGTGTGTGTGTGTGTGTGTGTGTGTGTGTGTGTGTGTGTGTGTGTGTGTGTGTGTGTGTGTGTGTGTGTGTGTGTGTGTGTGTGTGTGTGTGTGTGTGTGTGTGTGTGTGTGTGTGTGTGTGTGTGTGTGTGTGTGTGTGTGTGTGTGTGTGTGTGTGTGTGTGTGTGTGTGTGTGTGTGTGTGTGTGTGTGTGTGTGTGTGTGTGTGTGTGTGTGTGTGTGTGTGTGTGTGTGTGTGTGTGTGTGTGTGTGTGTGTGTGTGTGTGTGTGTGTGTGTGTGTGTGTGTGTGTTATGTGTGTGTGTGTGTCTGTGTGTGCGTGCGTGCGTGCGTGTGGTGTATTTTGATTTTCTTTTTCTTTTTCTTAAATATAATCTTCAGAATTTTTTCCTTTTTTTTTTTTGTCACTAGGATGGGATGCAGCAGAATATGGCTTCAGTGGCAGAGAAGGAGGAGAAGAAAGGAAAGAAAGGCTCAGAGAAGAGTAAGGAAGTTTGTCATGTTTACATTTTACCCCTTTGTAGACTATGACTTTTTTTTTTTTAAAGGAAATAGGAAATGTGGATCAGTTCAGAATGGTGAGCGATGTAGATAAAAAAGTGCAAGCTCACCAGAAATAGGGTAAAGACAACACTCCTCTCCAAAGCTCATCCAATCCTTTATTAATAGTTTGAAATTGTCTGTTATTATTCCCCGATGAATCCGTCCTATCTCGCTCGTAGGAAATGAATAGGCAGTGAATTCTAGGAACTCCTCTCTCTTACTAATAGTTTCTGACGGTGCTGATTCACACACCGCTTAATTTGATACTTCCTTTGGTAGTTGGGAGTTATTTGTTTATTGAGGTTTTTTGGGTTGGTATTAAAGAAGTTGTATAGATAGGTCAGTAGTTTGGGTTGTTCTGGTTATCTTTTTACTGCTTTCTTAACTTTTATTTATTTTCATTCTGTTTGTTTTTATAGTGTTATGATAGTTGTTAAGCTTGTTGTTGTTATGTTGCAAGGCTAGAATTTAAAAAATTTGGAGCAGAACAGAATGGAATTGCAGCAAGTTAAGTTATTATTATTAATTTTTTAATTGGAGATAGGATGAGCTCTGAAATACAAATACAGTTTTCTATTTTGGGCAATTTCTCTCATCACCAGTGAAACGGGCAGCCAGTATTGAACAACTCGCTCCAGACAGCAAGGGCATCACTGATAAGTTGCTGAACTTCATCAAGAGACGGCCCCTGAAGGAGACGCTGGAAAAGAAAGGGATTTATAAAGGTAGGGTGAATGTTTTTCTCTCCAAGGGCGGAAGTAGGAAAGGTGAGGTATCTATATCTGTCTATAGATCTATATTTGTATCTGTATCTGTATCTTTATATTTATATACCTGTTTGTTTTCTTGTCAGTTCATTCTAAATCAGAATATAGCACTTTTGGATTTGAAATCCAGGATAGTGAAGAAAATATATAGCTCTGTCACTATTAACTCAAATCTGCGGTGGTAAATGTTGTGCTCACGTTTTATTTCTTTGTGAAATGTCTCCGCACATAGATGGCTCTGCTAGTGTTTAGCCACAAAGGAGTCAATTAGTAGACCTTGTTACCTTACCTGTTTTCACCTTTCCTTGAATTGGTGGGAAAAACTTTTCTTTTTTACTAATGCTATGAATATCGATGGTGTTATTTTTATTACTATAATGTTATAGACATTAGTAACAGCAATAAAAGATAACATAAAATATTTTCAAAAATCGAGGAAAGGGGTAAACAGGTGAGACAGACAGTACTTGTAATTGGCTTAATGGTGACTTAGTACAAGTTTGTAAAAACTATTGATAAAATAAACTCACAGTGAGCATGACATATATATACATACCATGCCTTTTGGATTTAGGTTAATAAGTTGTTCTCTAGGGAATGATATCAAAAGACATTACTTGGTATGGATGAGTCTTATATCTGTCCAAAAGCTTTCTTAGAGAATTGCACTCTTAAAAGATAGATATAACAATTTGTCTTCATTCAGGGACACCCCTTGGTTATGTTATCTAATGGCCTTACAAGGGAATAGACTTTGAGTCTTATAATGCAGTATTTGTGTGTACTTGTGTGGGTGCGAGTTTCCTGACTTCTTACCATAGGGCAGATGACTGAAAATGTTGATATATTTATTAAAGAATGAGAGAGATTTTTATGCCTTGTCAACTGTAATATACATTGGCATTTAATCATTTGGAAAGATTTTTACTGACTTTGTTCCATCCACAGAGGCTGTTTTTGGTAGCACATTGTCAGAGTTACACGTACAAGACAAGACCACGATACCAATATTTGTTCTCCAGTGCATCAATCACATAGAAAAGTCTGTTGAGAATCTCCGTGCTGATGGCCTGTATAGGATATCTGGTAACGCTGCTCAGATCCAGAAAATTCGATATGAGGTGAGATTTTTTTTGTGTAATTGTTTCCTTCTCTCATTCAGTATGTGATGATTGATTGAAAACAACAGACTTTTTTATGATCACTATGGAAGAAGAGAATATTTAGAGGATTAATTTTATATTATTGTTATAAGTGAAAGTAGATATATTTTCTATAACTTGCCCAACTTTACATAGGGAATCATGCCTGATGATATACTTGCAGGTGGCACAAAGGAACTATACCATCTTGAGCAGGGAGAAGGAAGTACACAACCTGTCGGGGGCTCTCAAACTCTTCTTCCGGGAGCTCAAGGAGCCCCTCATTCCCTTTGCCAACTACCAGGACTTCATTCAAGCAACAGGCTCCGGTATGTTCGTTTCTTGAGGGCCTCTGCTTGTTCTTGTTAGGTTGAGAAAGGATTGAGACTTTAAGGGCCTTTTTCCCCCCTCCCCGTTTGCTTTATGTGGAGTGTGTCAATGACCATTTCTTTCTTTCATGCTCTCCTTTTAAGGGTGAATCTGTGATTGGTAAGTTTCATTCATATTGAATTCATTTTTGGTAC